TAAGAGGCAGACTTGATCTATTTGGTTAATTAATGCATTTCAAGAACCTAGAACAGGAACTCACACTTTAAGAACATCTAGTAATATTTGTTGGATGAATATATAAATGGGTTTTCTACAATGATGCCCTTAGAATTTCATCAGTGAGTAAGCTGAATATTGTTTAAGTGCAAAATCTATGTGAATTGAAGGACAGGATGGGCTATCTTTATACAAAACCATAAAAATTAAGTAAATTGGTTTCTAGTCACCTTCTAAAGGAGCCCTTGGGCACAGTGGTTCACATGCTTAGCTACTAAATTAAAAGTATTTGATCCCTTCAGGACCTGGGGTGTGAGTGGCGACACTGGGAGGGTAGAGGGAGAGTGGGTTGGAAAGAGGGAACCGATTACATGGATCTACATGTGACCTTCTCCCTGGGGATGGACAACAGAAAAGCGGGTGAAGGGAGACATTAGACAGGGCAAGATATGACAAAATGATAATTTATAAATTATCAAGGGCTCATGAGGGAGGGGGGAGCGTGGAGGGAGGGGAAAAAAAGAGGACCTGATTCCAGGGGCTTAAGTGAAGAGTGGATGTTTTGATGTATGTATGAATTGTGATAAGAGTTGTATGAGCCCCTAATAAAGTGATTTAAAAAAAAAGTCTTTGGTTATCCATGAGAGAAGCATGCTGTAGTATGCTTTCTTGGTAAGCTTCCAGGGCATTCTTGTGCATATCTCTAGGGATACTCTAAGCTAAAATCAACTCACTGGGAGTGGGGAGCAGGTATTTGCTTTCTATCCTATTTTAATAACACAGAGACGTCAAAGAAATTATTCTTTGATCTTACATGTAACGTTTGCTCATGTTGTTAGGAATAAAAAGAATAAAAAGAATAAACAAACTCTATGCAGACAGAAGAAGGTGAAAGAGGTTAAATCCACATTGATTATTTAAGGCATGTTCATCATTTATTGAACAATCTCCCTCTTCACAAGAACTATTGTGTTTACTGGACCTTTCTATGATACTCTGAATTTATTTTTAAATAATCCATGCTATGTGCATTTAAAATCAAAGTATATTGTACACTAATGCTTGTTTCTTATCCCCTGGCAAATCTGTTGCAGGGTAGAAGAGGTTCATTGTACAAACCTTTGAACTTATTCACTGTATTCCACTTTTGGAAATTTCTTTTAATTGCTCTCATTAAAATTCATGTCTTTTGGGATCCTTTTCCTTGTCTTAAAATGTTTGGCAACAGCTATCTTCCCAAGGAAATTACATTGGGGGGACTTGCTGCATATATTCTGACTGTCAAACCAGTGAAATGAGAACTATAAAGAAGCAAACCCTAAGCCAACTGCCATCAAGATGAATCTGACTCAATGAAATGCTGCTGTACGATTTCAGAAGCTGCCAATCTTGGGATTGGCTGGTTGATTTGCGGCTATTAGAACAATACTAATCCACAGAATAACCATAAAGAATCCTCTCTTTCTGCTATCAGGTCAATTCTGATTCATAGTAATCATACAAGGTATAGTCAAACTTCCCTCTTTCAGTTTATAAATCTTTACAAATCTTTAGCAGACAGCCTCATCTTTCTCCCATGGAGCAGCTGGTGGGTTTGAAAAGCTGACCTTGTAGTTAGTAGTACAATGTATAATTCATTATGACTGCAGGACATCTTTGCCAAAAGGAAGAGGTATTACTAATTTTTGTAACTTTAAGAAGAAATCAAAAGAGCATACCAACTACCATTAATTTGGAAGATATTGAAAACAAAATGTACAAGATTTTTACTACATCTAATAAACACTATATCCAGACACACACAAGTATGTGTATATAACACATAGATGTTAGATGTCACTACATCTAACAAACACAATATATATACACACACACACAAATATGTGTATGTAATCAGGAAGTTCCCCATTTACAATGGGGATCCCATTAAAAGCAAACTATATTTACTGGTCTATTTGTTTCTTTGTTTCTAATTGTACAACTCATCATTTATCAGACACTTATACAAAGAAATGGTGTAGTGCTTATTTGCTGATGTTATCATTATCATGCCAACTTCCAAATAAAAAGAATGCATTTATTTAGATACTACTAATAAAAGTCTATAATAATGAAAATTTGGGGAAAAAGAGGTGTTTGATTTACATCAGAACAAATTTATGATGGAATCATTTCAAAGAGACCCTATTGTAATAGGAGGACTATATCCATATCTATCTATCTATCTATCTATCTATCTATCTATCTATCTATCTTTCTATCACTATATTTATATACCTATATATAAATTAAATATCTATTTGTATTCCATGTATATATTTATTTTAATGTATCACAAATACATCTATATGTGAAACACTGAAATAATATAAAATTATCTTTCCTAAAAACATGAGCAAATGTTACATGAAAAGTAACATTCAGTTCTCGTTACAGATGAAAATTATTTGTAAATACATATTGAAAAGCATAAAAAAAACCTTGATCATTGAATAAATTGTATTAATGAAACATCAATTTCAAATAGTCACATAATTCATCAAACCTAATAGGCTTTACCTAATTATAATTTACTTAAAATAGTTTCTTTCCTTTTTTCCTGTATAAAGTTCACTGAAGTGTAATACTACCACTGTATTTACTTAACTACATACTTTTCTATATGCATGTATTTCACAACTTGTTTGCTGATTTATTCCAGGATATATCACCAAGACACATTTTAACAGCTATTGAAATCAAAAAAGCTACTCATATAAGGAAAACATTTGAAGGCTTACTACAAAGATTTATTATTCTTCAGCCTTAATTAAACCCAATAAAACATATTAGCTACTACAGTTAAATAGAAAAAATGAGGAACAATAAAATTTTATAAGATTAATTACATTTATACTTATTTTTATTTATATGCTTAAGGACAGAATAGCATTCATACCAGAAATCTGTAGAAACATGAAGACTATGGTGCTTATAGAAAGGCACATGCCTGAGAAGCTGTTGGTAACTACACCATGTGACAATTGTCCAAGGATTGACCTCTATCCACAGGCTCCACTCATCCTTCCAAGTAACCACCGATATAATGCTGCAGATACCTTACTTTCTATATTTGTAGTAGTCATTTCAAAATTTATCATTCAGTCTTCCAAATAGAATTGCCTTAATTTGACCAGAATTTCTGAATAAAAATGTATAATTTCTTTCCCCTTTCCTTATTTTAAAAGCATATTATACTTAACAAAGAACAGGTTTTACTGTGAACATGAACAGCTGACTTCATCTTCCTGGAAAGGTGCTTATTGATCCTTGAGTGGAGCCCTGCTGGAATAGTGTGTGACTCCCGATGAATACCTGTGACATCAGCAGTTTGAAACCCCAGGTGTTCATTAAGGGAAAGTAAGGCTTTGAGAACAATTTACAGTACTGGAAACCAAGAGGGGTAGTCCTACTCTGTCCTATAGCATCACCACTTTAAATCCCAATGGACTCCATGTCAGTGAACTTAGTTTGAATTTGGATCCTTCCGTACAAATGGTTGAATACTCAACTACTAGCCAAAGGTCACAACTTTGACAATGTTATGGCATAGTTGCACTTTGTGCATGAGCTGGAATTGACTGAAGGAAAATTAGCAGCAATAAATATAAAAAGTAAGGTATCTGAAGTAGGTGGATTGTAAATTAAGCTTCTGGGTTGTACGATTATGTTATTTTGGAATACTACTTAGTAGGAACTATGGCTTTATTGCTTTTAATGGAATGCTCGCTGGTTTGGACATTTTATATTGTGTAGAAGTACGCAATTAGATATAGATCCTATGAGCTGATATACAGATACCATGCACCGAAATGTTTTAACAACAAGAAACTAATACCGAAAGAGATAGGTAGTGAATTGCCTGTGTTAAACCATCTTTGAAATTTATAATTAAAAAATAATGATAACATACATTCATAAAATAATATCTAATAACAGTGATCAAAAAGTCTTATAATCACAAGATTAACATAGAGATTATTTAGGTATCTAGAACAAATATAAAATTCAAAAGAAAAGCATGCATATATTTTTAAATTTAGAAATAAACATAAATATGTGAAATGCAAACATTTGATTTATTATAATAATACATATTTTCAGGATATATCTTCATGAAACAGCTTAAAATAACCCCTGCTTCAACTTGTCAATAGAGAGCTTTGTAAACCATTCATAGTTCTAAATAGAAAAGAAGATTCTCCCAAATGTTGCATCCAAGATAAGGATGATTTTCATTTGTATAGTTCATCAACAGTCTGTTTTACATCATGAACTCATTTACAGTACTGCAAACTATGCATTTCATAGCTGAGTCTAAGAAAAGCTAGATATTTGAATAAGTTATCCAAAAGCATCCAGTGTTACTAGGAGAAACTTGTATTATAACAAGTTTGACAATCTTATTTTGACAGTTTAACAAGTATTTCAGAGTAACAGGAAAAAAAGAAAAGTTAACTTTAAATTACTTTCTGCAGCCTCTCCTGAAGACTAAGAGCCTCCATTATGATTGTAAATTTCTCTGCAAAGTTGTGTCTTCTTTTATGTGCCGGAACGTAAAAAATGTGTGCTTGGCTCTTAGAGATGGCGCTTATAATAACTTTATTAAACTTCTAATACATAAATTACTACGTCCTCAAAAATAATGTCACAATAACATGAAACTTCCAAGTGTCCACAAATTGGTTTTAGATGTTGGTTTAAATAAAGAGAAAACAAAAAGCACCAAGATTAATAAGACGCTGGTATGCTGGTGGTTGGCTATAATGATCTTTTTCAGCTCCAGAAGGTATTTGGGGATTGTTTAAGAGCAAAAGATGAATGGTGCAGCACTAAATCCTATTAAATCAATGCATGGACACAGCAGGAGCAGGGGTAAATAAGTTGTAGAGGTTTGAATACCAATAAAGATGATAAAAAAATTTTATATAGCTACTTACATCATAGCCCAGGAGTTCAGTCTGTGTGGATTTATCTACTCTTGAAGCGAATGCCTTCTGTAAATACCGGACTTTTCCCTGAAAAATGAGAAAGAATACACATTGCTGATAAGTCTTCGGCACGAATATTCCCTGTCTACTTAATTTTGACTAGTGTGCAATTTATGATCCTCTGTGTGTATACTTTGGACTGTTGGTGCCATACCAATTAGCTTAAATATTTAGAGAATTAATTTACAGGTCACCATGATCAAACTTTGGAACTGTTTCTTCTAGGACACGATTTACAGTTGACATCTAGAAAGGTACTTTGTTTTAGTGTATATTTATTTAAAATCCAAAATACTTTCAATAAATAACACCTCCCAGATGACTCCATTTGGTTTGGTTTTTACATCTTAATCCTATTCACCAACTCCAGTACATTAGAAATGTGTGTGGAAGGACAGTTCACAGGTCATTTTTCAAACACAATGAATTTATTTTTGAGATCTCCATCTTCTCCATTGTCCAATACTTAATTATGAATTTGCGTTTTAGTTATCTTTATGATGGCTTTTTACTATCAGTATCTTTAGAAATCTCATCAGGCTTTGGGGATTAGAAAGATTGCATATTAACTTATAGATATGATGACATCTAAAAATTAGGCACTGAAGCATTGTGTGTAGTACATTCTACTACACAAGAGCAGATGTACACAGAAGAAAAAAATGTGTTCTAAGTGGGATTTGTCACTCAGATACATGAATTAAAGACTATATTCAATTTAAGTGGATTTGTGACCAGGGTCTTTACTTTGATTTTTCCTGAACATATTACTTAGAAAAGAAATTTGAGCTTAATTATTAGGTTGTTGTTTACTGTTTGCCTACCACAGCTCGGAATGCTATATGCCCATGATAACATTTCACTATTGCCAGCACACATTTTGCTATGAAGGTAATAAAGCTTAAAAAGTTTAAGTAATTTTAGAAATTGCCAAAGATACTCATCTGACCCCACTTGACTCTGTTTTCAATATTATTCTTTACAGAGAAATTCTTCTGGATTATTAATAAACATGATGTATAGTTCAATGACAACTGATACACCCCCAAAGGGATAGTGGTTACCAAGAACCTCAATTACAAGAATTCCAAATACACAAAACTCCTTCTTCCCTCTCTCATTCTTCACTCATCTGTTTCACCTTCACCACTTCCTCTCCCTCTCAGTTCCATCAGAAGATGAGGGGAAATGGACAATGGAGATTCCAGGACCATCATGGATCACCAGAATTATCATAGCTACTTAACAATGATCAATTTAGATATTCATATTCTGAACGGTTGCTGAAAAATAGAAAATAAATAATTTATATATGATTGTAGATTCCCAACTTCTTTCTTCTCTACTTCTGATATTACTATATTTTATATTCTGCTTCAAATGTAAAATGGAGACTAGATAATTTCAGATCATGATAAGAGATTAGGGTAAAATTATATTAGTTGAAAAAAATCACTAAAATTTGGCTGCGTTTTTTCAGTTAAATTTAAGGTAAGAAGAAGTAAGCTGTATATATATATATATATATATATATATACATATATATACACACACACACATACACACACACATACATACATACACACACACACACACACATATATACATACATACATACACACAAATCCACTGCCATACATACATACATACAAATCCACTCTTCAGGACTGTTGGGCAGGATAAAATTGTTCCTGTGAATTTTCAAGATTACTTTTTTACAGGGGTAGAAAGCCCTATCTTTTTCTCAAATTGTTTATAGTTACACTTAAATTTGCATCTGGAAGATAAAGAACTTGGAGAGCTGTAGTAGATAAAAGAGGCAATGATTACTATAATAAAAGATTGTTTGAAAATGTTTGATTATCTTCTGAAATAGAATGGGATAATAAGTATTTGCAAAGTAAAGTTCTCAATAGATCAGTAAGTATATAAATTGACGTGTATGAGTTTTCAACTATGTACTAAAGGGAATTATAGTTAGACATGCTTCCATTGTACTTCAGCTTACATTCATAATTTCAAAAGTTTTCATCTTGACAAACTGGCTCATTGGTCAAAGTTTTAAGCTTTAGGAAATACAAACAAATCTAAGTAAAACATTTCAACAGCTTCATTAATCAAATTATAATTGAAACAATTAAATAAACCAATCCACAAAATAAATACATAAATAACTATCACTACCAGCAACAACAAAAAGAAAGACCTAAATATAAAACAGTCATGTGAAATGGAAATATGGAAATATGAAAGCACAGACATCTCTAAAGATATTTGTCAGACATTTTTTATAACACTAAGTATATGGAATATTTGAAATATTTATTACGTATGCAGATATGAGCCACACTAAAATATGGTTGGTTATAAAATTACATATTCACAATAGACTTGTGTGCATCTGTTTAAGAAATAGATATGGTATTTAGTATGATTGTAGACAGTAAGTACATGTAAAACTCTGATGGACATCTGTAACACGTGTTTAGAAGGTCAAACAAATGGTACATAGCTTTCACATTGGTTCGTTTGTTTGTTTATTTTTTTGCACGTTTGTATGTATTCTGAGTAGAGGCACTTTTGAAATCTACTTTGAGTTGCTTCCATTATGACTGTTTTCAAGGATGTTAAAACACTGTTGGAAGAGAGATGGGGGCTCCTTCTAGAGAAGAATAGATTTGTTGGCTGTGCAATGTAATCAAGATGTGTCACTCTCTGGACCAATTATTTGCACAGGTTTGCTAAAAGCCCTTTCCAGGAGACTGGTGTTTCCTGTACTCATGGTTCTTAAACTGTGATGCAAATTCACTTTACTTCTATGTGCAGGACCCACTCAGGATGCTCAGGACTTTAGAGGCCAGTGGACCCAATACACACAAAAAGCTTATGTTGCCTGCTCTAACATAAGTAATAATGCCTTCTGTTCCTGACCTAAGAGTCCAGTATATTGTGTAAATGTCTATGAAATGTGAAAGATTAACTGGCTAGCACATAAAGAGGATAAAATCTAACACCGTCCATAGTTCTTGACATTATTATTGTATTTAAAAGTAACGTAATAAACTATACACTGTGACACCTGATAATAAAAATGGAATCTGTTTTAAAATTTTCATGCAAGGAAACATATAATTTGAAATAGAAGAATGATATTTTCAAAACCATTCATGAATTTAAATATATTAAATGATTATTAAGAAAAAGGCAACATGTTATATACAAAAGATTCATCATGAATTAAGAAAAGATTGTTTTCTATATTACTATTTAATTTTATAATAGACTAAAATAGAAATTAAGCATATATTTATATATACATTTAGTATATGCTAAAAATGTGTAACAGTCTAGTAGAAAATATACCACAAAAGTAGTTATTAGTGGCTGTGAGTTTGAAGATTTTTTTCTTTTGTGAGGAATGAATATATATCAATTTTTCTAATTATTTACTACCTACCTACCTATCTGCTTACCTATCATCTATTTATCATCTACCTATCACCTACCTATCATCTACCTATCATCTATCATATATCTATCCTCTACCTATCATCTATCTATCATCTACCTAACATCTATTTATCATCTACCTATCATCTATCTATCATCTACCTATCATCTATCTATCAGTCAGAATCACTGAAGGCCCAGTGGGCTACCCATCAGGCTGCTCACCACTGGATCAGAAATTTGAAACCACCAGTCACTTCTCGGAAGAAATGCTTTCTACTCCAGTAAAGATGTATGGCTGTTAGGCATCATTTCCCACTCATGGTGCCCTATGTGCAACAGAACACAACAGTGCTCACTTCAGCACCAGCCTTACAATTGCTCTTATGCTTGAGGCCATTTTCGCAGCTGTTGAGTCAATCCATCTCCTCGAGTGCCTCCCACTTTTTCATGGCCTCTCTTCTTTCCCAAGTGCGAGGTCCTTTTTCAGGGAATGGACTCTCCTGATAACATGTTAAATAAAGTACATGAGATGAAGCTTTGCCATCCTTGTTTGTAAGGAACATTCTATTCGACAGATTTGTTTGTTCTTTTGGCAATTCACGGTACTTTCAATTCTTAACAGCACCATTATTGAAATGCATTGATTCTTCCTCATTTTTCCTGACTCGATGTCCAACTTTCATATGCATAGGAAGTGGTTGAAAATGCCATGGCTAGGGTCAGGTACACCTTAGTCCTCTTCTTCTTCTTCTTTTTTTTTAAAGAACACCCTTCTTTTAAACATTTTAAACAGTCTTGTGCAGCAGATTTACTGAATGTATGAGTCCTTTTATGTTTTGTCTAATGATCCCATGAGCTGATTGTGGATCCAAGCAAGATGAAATTCTGGGTAACTTCAATCTTGTCTCTGTTTATTATGATGTTACCTATTGGTTCAATTGTGAGAGTTTTGGTTTACATTACATTGGGTTTTAGTCCATACTGAAGACTGCAATTCCTTTTTTTTTTAAATCATTTTACTGGGGGCTTTTACAGCTCTTATCACCACCCACCCATCCATCCATCCATCCATCCATCCATCCATCCATCCATCCATCCATCCATCCATCCATTGT